CAGAAGAAATAAAATCTAACATCATTATGATGCTGAAATTATGCAAGGACACTAAGTTAATGTAGAAAAGAAAAAAAGGCGAGCATGTGCTCTTAAAAGACGCTAATTGTTATTAGAATAGAAATTCCCTTTTGTAGAGAATGAAATGAAAATGAATGCCAAACAAATCAGATCTTTGAAAATAGTGTAAACTGGGTTATTATGTCTTTGGAAAAAACAAGTGTGAGTTGTGCATGTGGGTACAAGTTATGAGTTAAATTTGAAAAATAACACCTAAGTATGACGGAAATACAATTATTTTTGTCCTTTTTTGTCTGATTAAAACAACCAATCACATGACGCACACCACATGTATGAAAATATGAGGATGTTAAAGAATATTTTTTTCTTTCTTGGACCAATGCCTTTCTAAAAAAAAACATACTACAACCCGCGACCTTAATTCTTTATGTAGGTGTGGCTTCCTGGATTTCATCAAGTGGTTCAGGTCCAGAAAACAAAAAACACTCTTTGATTCATTTTTATGTTATTTATAGATAAGGTAAATACGAAAACAGCGATTTTGTTTGTTTTGATTTTGTTTCGTACCGTTTTAAAAATTAGATTATTAGGAATAAATATTTTCCCTTCGAGGGAGCAAAATAAGTTCCTTTGTCACAGAGGTGTGACGAGCACAGCAGAGCAAAAGTCCTCTATAAACTTTGAAGATAATTAAGAGACACTTACACCCTGGCACATCTTGACAGCAGTCACAGATCCCACTTGACCACTCATTAGACTCTTGGGAATACATCATAGGCTGAGGTTGCCGAACAACCATTTTAGAAGTCATGATTGCGCCTAAAAGAAAGAGCAAGGTGAGAAATTCCTTCTACAAGTCCTCTTACAATCAGGTGTGTATTTCAGGAAAGCTGGTAAATGTTCACTACACTTCCAGCCTTTCTCAATAACCATTGAAGAGTTCCTCTGCTTTTAAGTCCCAAATTGTTACTTGTCAACATGTTGGTTATTAATATAATATCATTACTTTCTTAAATTAAAACAGTAAACTGCTGCTCGTTATATTTATAATTTTACTGTGGTTAATATATGAAGTCTGAGCTCATGTGGATGGGAACGAAACTAAACGAATAAATAAAATATCTTACCTTTTGTGTTTGACGATTAGAAAGCTCTGAGGTGGATGTTCGGTCACAGCGGATCTCTGAAAGCTCCGAGAAGTTTTCATGTCTTAAATCCTTTTAGAGAACATGAGATCACCTGACAGAAGAATCCGGACGCACCGGTTCACTCCGCAACTTTGTGTTAATATTAAAGTGAAGGTGCGGCAACTGGAAAGGTCATTGTCTAATGCGGAAAAAAAAATGATCCTACACTGCTTTCACTTAGACAAAAGAAAGTTTTTTAACTTCACCGGGGAAATGTTGCCTATATGTGGTATTGCTGCATACTGAGGATTCCCATTACTGACGGGACGGAAGCTTTCTCTATTCATATGCATGTACTTCATATTCATATACATGTCTCAAGCGTGTGTGTGTGTTTTTTGTTTGTTTGTTGTTGTTGTTTGCTTTCTCTAGTGACCTCGTGCCCTCTGAACTAAAAAGCTGTGGGCAGAAAAACGACAGGTCAAGTTGTCCTATAACCCAAAGTTCGCGCCAGGCAATTCCGTGTAATTAACACCGAAAAAAACAACAACAGGAACAATAGATGTTTTATGTTCCTTTATGTGATTGTTATGATTTGCATTAGGAGTGGTCATGCATTTGGAATGTCCTATTGTGAGATGAAGTGAGCAACTGGCGTGCGTGGATGAGTCAAAGTTGCGGGCGTGACGCCAAAGCGTTGGCTCTGTCCTCACCGAAACCTTTCGCATCAGAGCTCCACATCTCTCTGAGTTTGAGTAACGCTGACATTCTGATTACACAGCATCGCTGTGAAGGAGGCGGGAAGAGGATCTTAATATAAGATGCAAAGATCCGCCTTATATGGGTTATGCCAGCCGCCAAGGGCGTAACATCTGACTGGGCGGCTGGACTGGGGGGACCGGTAGAAGGAGCCCAGTCAGAATGACCAACAATAGGTTACCTAATGAGGTCCATCACACCGGATACTTATGTCGTGGCTTTAGCTCGTAAAGACAGCATTTATGCAGTATACATTTACCTTATGAACTGAACTGTAGCTCTGGGAACACCAAGCGTAACACAAAAAACACAAATACTTCAGAAATTTTATGTCAAAAACCTGTTTAAAGCTAAATAATTTTAATGGTATTTATTAAGCAGATAACTAATTGAATTCCCGTTTTTATACTGAAATGTGAGCCGGAACATTGGACTTATCTGGGAAGTCAAAAACTAAAACAATTTTTTCTGTTAGGATTTTAACTGTAATTTAGCACCTTAATCCAAAAAATAATAATGTGCTTTTTCTTTTTGTCTGCTTTTTTGTAGAAAAGTAGTTATGAAAAGTCATCGATAACAATAATGGTTATATTTTAGCATTACAAATATAATTGTCCACACTGGTAGATTAACCTTCAATGAAATATGAGAAATATTTTGGTAATGATCAATACTGTTAATGTAGGGCAGCTGTGACATAAACCTTATATTTGGTGGTGGTCAAATAAACTTGTTCTGTATTTTCTCAGGCGTTTTACACTCAAATGATTAAAACGGTGGATGAAAAATTTATGAAAAGGTTTGATGTCAGAGGAAATACACTACTCAAAAAAATTCAAGACACACTTCTAAACATCTGGGATATTAATTTGGTCGGCTAAGTAGCAGAGGGGGTCGTTAATCAGTTCCAGCTTCTCTGGTGCTGATGAAGTTAATAGCAGGTGCACTAGAGGAGCAAAAGTGAGTCAACCCCCAAAACAGGAATGGTTTTTCATCTTTACTGATTGTTTTTAACTAATTTTGCATTTGGCTAGGGTCAGTGTCACTACTTGTAACATGAGATGATACTTAGACATGACAGAGGTTGCACAGGGAATCAAACTCATCCAGGATGGCACATAAATACATGCCACTGCCAGAAGGTTTGCTGTGCCTCCCAGCACGGACAAATGGCTACAGTGGGAGAGCTAGACTGGGCCATAGAAGGCCCTAAACCCATCAGCAGGACTGGTATCTGCTCCTTTGTCCAAGTAGGAACAGGAACATTACCAGAGTTACTGAATGACCACTGGTGTAAATGTCTCTGACCAAACAGTAAGATGCAGAGTTTGTGAGGGTGGCTTGAGGGCCGAACATCTTCTACTTGGCCCTGTGCTCACTGCCTAGCACCATGGAGCCCAGTTGGCATTTGCCATAGAATACCAGAATTGGCAGATCCACCACTGGTGTTGATCAAAAGCTGCAATCATGTTATTAATATAGTTGATTATTCCTATTCACTATTATCTTAGCATGAACTGTGTGCATGTATGTGTGAGAGAGAAAGAGAGACTTAGCTATGTACTCTTGTTTACTTTGGTGAAGACAGCGAAACATCTGCCCCTGGGCCTGTCACAGAGTTGTTAAACCTGTGCAGGCAGACTTCTTGTGTTTTCCAGGAAGCTGACTGAAATCTGGCATTTCGGGTTTTAACCCCATTTCCACACAAAGATTGGTAAAGAATTAAAACACGACAGCCTGGTTTCCTCATTCATCTGTTTCAAACCAAGTAGCAACGTCTCTCAAAATGCAGCAAATAACTCAGGCTTAGATCTGAAGTGTGTCCTTGGTAACAAACGTGTTTGCGTCAAGATCTGATGATAAGCTGTTTTTTTTCTTCCTTATGCCAGATAGATCAGCTGTTTTCAGATTGCGACATCACACCTTGGCACAATTTGTATTAAGGGAGGATGAGTCCCTATCAGTTTTGTCCAGAGAACAGCTGCAAAAACGTTTTAAAAAATAACATATCGATTCGGTTAGGAACATAAAACTTGTGCTATTTGGTAAGTAGATTGGTGGGATACCTGCATCGAAGCCGTTTGTTATGACCTAATATTTGTGCTGCTCTTGCTGGAATGATTGTTACTGGAATGAACTGACATCTTTCTTTGTAGATCAGTGCATTGTTAGTAGGTTATCTGCAGAACTCTCCACTCACATAAGTGCATTTTTGTGATGACTGGATGGCTGTGAACAGTACAAGATAAAGGTCACTCTTTCGAGGATGCCAGTGTTCACATTTTGGAATGAGAAGACAGATGGTTTGAAAGAGGAGTGAAAGAAGCCGTCTACGTGCACTGTGAACGGCCAGACTGGGTGGCTTACGACACCAACTGTCTGCTACCTACAATGCAATCTTGATATCTCCTCCCAGGTGAACCCCCACTCACATCTTGCCTCAGGGGACCTCAATAGGTCAAATGATAGGGTGATAAGTTTCACAGTGGTTTCACATGAAACCTCTGATGATGATCTTGGTTCATGTGATTAGGCATATTATTAATAATGGGTCAACAATCCTCTAGTAGGGGGACACCCCCCTAGCACTAGGTTTAAAATACCTGGGTCTATTTGCTTTTAGAACTGAAGAACCTTCTTAGATGAGACGTGAAACATATTCTGAAGAAGTCCAGTTGCTTTGTGTCCAAGCTCCTTAGACAGTGCTGACTGGATTTGTGGCTTTACCAAAACTCCAGTTTCTTCCATAGAAATATGACCACACTGCATTTCATTTTAAACCTGTCAAGCTAATTTTGAAGTTATAGAGATAGTATAGAGATTAATTTATATATCAGAGCTACAACTTACACTAAAACATGATGCAAGTTTCATCAGGTTACTGCTATATCAGTAATTCATATGATGTCATATTAAATTGCAATTTACATTGCTGTTTTATTCTCTGTCTGAAATTTTATGAAAGCTGGATGGCATGAAGTAAAACAAACTCACTTTAAAGTGAATTTCAAGTCCATACATTAAACTGAACATCTAACAATCCTGACGTATGAGTACGGTTTCTGTTAAGTGGAAATGGGGTTCCACTGGGTCTTAGTTAGCATAAGATAGCATTTTCTGATATTCTGCCCTTCTACCTTATAATACAAACAGCTGTTGCATGTATCCTGAAATCATCAATAAGACTTTTAGGGTCAGAAATACTAGACAGGATGCCGCACTCCAAATAACCTACTTTTCCAATTCAGTGTCGCGGGGGTGCTGGTGCCTGTCTCAGCTGCCATGGAGTGAGAACCAGGGTACACCCTGGACAGGCCATCAGTCTGTCTACCACAGAGAGACAGACAACCATAAAACAGCACAAGGAATGAAAATTAAATGAATGAAGGACTGGAGACAGGCAGGCAGCAAAAATGAATACAAGATAATAACCAGAAGATAAAAT